TTTTTTCTCAGAATTCTTTCTTTTTTTCTCAGAATTCTTACTTTTAATCTCAAAATTTCCCCCTGAATTCTGACTTTTTTTCCCTCTGAATTCTGACAGAATTTTGACTGCTAAAAAACATGTTAGCATCAAGCTGTAGCCTTGTCTAGAGACTAAACTAGCTCTCTTGTTTTAATCACCTTCTGCTCTTCCATTAATGAATTAGCATCACCGGGGATCCCTCTGGCACGTAAAAAGTCGCTTAATTCCGTCATTTTCCACCAGTGTGTTACTGGCCCTCCCAAACAACTCATATCTTTGTCAGTGAAGCTGAGCGCTCCACATCTCTTCCTTCATCGTGCCCATCTACATTAAGATCCAAAATTTGAGATCAAAGTCAGAACTCTGAGATTAAAGTTAGAATTCTGACTTTTTTCACATATTAAACTAAAATAATATTTAAAAGTCACTTAACTTTTACTTATTTTTTCATTGGCCCTAATCGTCTTCCGTAAATTCATATTTATATGATTATATTTATGTATTATGGAAGTTCATCTCTGTAAATATCATTTTTTATCTTCTGTTGCAGAGCTCTCATATTTCCATTTCTAATTCGAGGAGGTAAAGCAACACCGTTCCTCTCATTCGCCCTGGCCTTTGTCTTTTGCATCTACAATGGCTACATGCAGGTTCGATACCTGAGTCATTACGCTGAGTATCCTGCAGACTGGGTTACAAGTCCTCGTTTCATCACAGGTGAATCTTCTTGTTTCAAACAGGTTTTCAATAACAGTAACATTAAAACATCTAAATACACCCACGCCTTATGATAGGTTGTCTTTGATTGACTTTATTGATCTCACAGTTGAGAAATTTACTTGTTGCATCAAATAGTCAAAAAGAGAAGAAGAAAGTGCCAAAGGAAGAACAAAGGTGCATGGGGTATATACTGTATAGTACAGTGTTATGAGTCCAGTCCAATTTTTTATTGACAGGAACACCCAGGTATTTGAAACTGTCCACAGTTTGGATGTCCTGCCCCTGAATGCTCTAGCGGGAGGGAGGTTGGGGTTTTCTCCTGAGGTCGATCACCATCTCTCTGGTCTTACTAGTGTTAAGACACAGGTGGTTCTTCTAACGCCAGTCAAAGAGCAAAGAGCCGACGTAACAGGCTGCTGCATGCACAGCGCCATCTTTAACGACAGCTATGCAGGAAACATAGCTAAAATGGTGTTGATCAGTGTGTCTTGCAAAAGCTTCCACATTCCTTGAACTTTGTTATACATTTTGATTTGTTACAACTGCAGACTTTAGGTGTTTTATTGGGATTTCATGCGATAGACCAAGTCAGGGTAGTATGCATTGGGTGTTTGCTTTATCTGTATGTTTAATTTTTATTTGTTTAACATTGATCACCATCGTATCACTCTTATTTTGTCATGCAAATGGAGGAAGAGAAAGCAATATCAGCTTCAAAAATCTGAAAACAATTGTACATATCTGCCCAATTTGTTGGGAAGTTGCACTCAATTTTATTCCCACACATTATTAATTAGAAATCTTCTGTTCAGGGAAATGAGGGTTGCAAAGTGACACCTAGTGCCCGCCTACCAAAGTTTGGTTTTTGCAAACCCAGGTGACAAATTAAATAGCAGCCATGAAAAACCAGAGCAATGATCCCATTTATGCTATTGCTTTTCCTCTTTTAAAGGTGAAATTGTAGATTCTGTCAAAGCAGATGTGGTAGCAGCAACTACTCGTATGTCCTCCTGTGCTGCCATGTTTATTTTGTGGACTCCACTGCTCTTCCTCACATTTATGGGGGATTCTCCAACTGGCATAAAATAGGTGATTTTTTATTCATGCTTTGCTTACTAGACACAAAGACATCTATCATACAAAAAATGTATGATAGATAGATTTATAATACACTACTCAAAAACATTAAAGGAACACTTTGTAATCAGAGTATAGCATCAAGTTAATTAAACTTCTGGGATATTGATTTGGTCAGGTGAGTAGTAGAGAGGGTAGTTAATCACTTTCAGCTGCTTTNTAATCAGAGTATAGCATCAAGTTAATTAAACTTCTGGGATATTGATTTGGTCAGGTGAGTAGTAGAGAGGGTAGTTAATCACTTTCAGCTGCTTTGGTGTTAATTAAATTAAGAACAGGTGCACTAGAGGGGCAACAACGAGACGACCATCAAAACAGGAATGGTTTTACAGGTTGGAGGCCACTGACGTTTTTCCTCTCCTGATCTTTTCTGACTCTTTTTCACTAGTTTTGCATTTGGCTAGAGTCACTGTCACTACAGTTAGAATGAGGCGCTACCTGGACCCTACAGAGGTTGCACAGGCAGTCCAACTCCTCCAGGATGGTACATCAATACCTGCCATTGCCAGAAGGTTTGCTGTGTCTCTCAGCACAATCTCAAGAGCAAGAAGTAGATTCCAGGAGACAGGCAGTTACTCCAGGAGAGCTGGACAGGGCCGTAGAAGGTCTACAACCCATCAGCACGAGCGGTATCTGCTCCTTTGTGCAAGGAGGAGCAGGAGGAGCACTGTCAGAGCCCTACAAAATGACCTCCAGCACGCCACTGGTGTGAATGTCTCTGACCAAACAATCAGAAACAGACTTCATGAGGATGGCCTGAGGGCCCAACGTCCTCTAGTGGGCCCTGCGCTCACTGCCTGGCACTGTAGAGCTCGATTGGCATTTACCACAGAACACCAGAATTGGCAAGTCCACCACTGGCACCCTGTGCTTTTAACAGATAAGAGCAGGTTAACTCTGAGCACATGTGACAGATGTGTATCCATGTATCCATATCCATGGAGGGATGCACAGACCTATACAGGCTAGACAACGGCACCCTGACTGCCATTAGGTATCGGGATGAAATCCTTGCACCCATTGTCAGACCCTATGCTGGTGCAGTGGGTCCTGGGTTCCTCCTGGTGCACGACAATGCCCGGCCTCATGTGGCGAGAGTATGCAGGCAGTTCCTGCAGGATGAAGGAATTGATGCCATTGATTGGCCCCCACGCTCGCCTGACCTAAATCCAATAGAACACCTCTGGGACATTATGTTTCCATCCATCCCACGCCGCCAGGTTGCACCTCAGATTGTCCAGGAGCTCAGTGATGCCCTGGTCCAGATCTGGGAGGAGATACCCCAGGACGCCATCCGCCGTCTCATTAGGAGCATGCCCAATTGCTGCAATTAAATTTCTGCAAAATGGACTATCCTGCCGCATAATTTTTACACTGTCATTTTTGGGGTGTCTTTAAATTCAGCCTCTGTAGGTTGATCATTTTTATTTCCATCAAATGATGTGGCATCCTTTTGTTCCTAACACATCACCCAGTCCATATCGGTATAAATAAACAGCATGATTTTTTTGCCCCATTGAGATCTGATGTGTTTTCAAAGTGTTCCTTTAATCTTTTGTTTAGCTGTGTACATAAAACATGGTTTTATATGAAGTGCCTGAAGTCCTTTATCCCATGACCAGGTGTTGGACACTCAGTGCCTTAAAAGACTAAAATTTAATTTGATTCAGTTGGAACTTTATCAACAAATGGCACAGAAATTCCTTATTATAAAAAAAATATCTTGAAAGATATACTTATTTGTTTTATTTTATGTATTTTTCTTAAAAAGAACACCTTTCCCCAGGAATCCCTGTCATTTCGACCACTAAATGTAACTTTTCTTTTTTAACCTCTGTCTACTTGCGACCACAACAGCTGCCACATGACAGAAGAGCTAGTGGCAGGTTAGCAGCGTTAGCTCCATGGAAGGAGGTGTTAAGGGATAGCTCTGTGTCGACACCTTGAAGCTTTCTCTTTCCGGTTCGCTTTCCTGAAAAGAGATAATTCGGGACAAACTCTTTAAATAACACTTCATAACGTATCTGTATTAAATAACCAGGAGACATGACCGATTTTGATAGAAACTGTAATCTTACTCGGATCAGAGAAGTTGCTATGGGTTACAGAATGGCCGCTGCTCACAAACCATGCTCACTTCTCAGGAAGTGGCCTCGATTAACAGTTAAAGAAGCTTTTTATACATCTCCAGTCTGCCACATCATTACATTGTACATCATACATGTTAGCAGATGAGGAGACATCCATGTTTTCAGCCATATCACAATATCACACTTTGTTCTTAGCTGAAGGACACCGCTCTCATTCCATTCCCAAATCTTTGTCACCTATAGAATGAAGATGATAACTGTATATCCGGACAGATTAACTGTCCTAATAAGATAAACCACTGGGGAAAACATCGATTCTAAAGCGCAACAGGCAGCTAATATTAGGGTATAATAACCTCACACATCATCAATGATAATTATCCTAATAGAAAGATTAAAATGAAAAAAAGACAGACATTGGTTGTCATTTCCAAACACCTCATATTTCCTTTGAATGTACAGATAATCTGATGAATACCATTTTATATTGACTGTAAAACTAAGATTAGCATGCTAATGTGACATGTGATTTTGAAAGAAATGAAAAAAATTTGGATTTCCATCACTGTATATTATATCTACATTGGATTCGCTAAAGAAGGTTCATGGATAAGGGAGGCTAGAAAACATTTACATGAACCAAACTGGTCAGTAGAAAGAGTTGTAGAAAAGCGCAGATAAAAACGGTAAAAACCTTCCTGCTGATCTTTTTGATAACATCTGCTAAAGCAGCTTTGGGTCCATCTCCAGGTTCTGCTCTCTGGCTGGTGGGCTGGCTGATGAATCTCCATTCCGACCACATCCTGAGGAACCTGAGGAAGCCCGGCGAGACTGGCTACAAGATTCCCAGAGGTAAAGGCTTTCTCTCACTCTGCATGTTTGAGTTTAGAATCAGAACTTTACCAAATGGACCCAAGAACTAATTTGGCTCAGGATGTTCGCATGTCAACGATGACAAAGACATTTGAAGACGTGGAGATTGTTTAAAACAATGAATAAAGTTTAAAAGGTCTGACAGATTTTTTAAATTTTTTTATTAATTCAGTGTATGTCTGAACATATTTCCACCTCGCCTGGTTTTTTCTAAACCTATGGCAACATTTATTCTTATTTTTGAAAAGTTTTGATTTCTTTTTAGCTGACGTTGTGGTCTTTATGAGAGCTTTTTTTTTTTAACCGCGCTTTCTCTGACCCATCACCTACCAGAAAAAAATGCAAAATGTAAAACTCAATCTGAAAAAAAACATTAGAAAATATTAAATCTGTAAAAGAAATAATAAAAATTGAAAAACTAACATCTAAGAAAACAGCAAACTTACTCTAAAAACCTTTTTTTGTGGTTAAGAATTTTATTAAAATTTCATTTTCAGACTAATTTTATTCCAGTTTTCTATTTACAAAACACTCTTTGCTTGCAACAACGTAAAAAAAAGATTCCCTCCATAAAATTTCTGCCAGATGTACGAATTCGAGTCTGAGCCTTTTTGAGCATGTGGGTTGTAAAGTTTCAAGGAACATATCGCCTCCTACTGGTGTGGCAGGGAAATTACATTGGCCTTTGTGCACAGAGATCCAATTAAAATATTCTGCAGGTAGAAGAGAATAGAATTTAACTTTATTGTCAATACACCGTCACAGTGCAGAGCAACGAAATAAACTCTCTGCATTTCACCCATCCCCTTGGGGAGCAGTAGGCTGCCGTTGTGCGGCGGCTGGAGCAGTGTGGGGTTAAAGGTCTTTGCTCAGGGACGCAGAATGTCAGTCCGTGGGAGTGGGGCTTGAACTTCGTTCTAACAGAAATTAAAACTAACCTTTACTTCAGTGGATTGTTGTCATGTAAACAGAGCCTCATTTTAAGCTGTTTGTTCTAAGCTCTGGTCGCTGAAAGTTTTCAAACCTAAATGTTCCTACTACATTAATATAAAGACACTTCAACATGTGAGGCGAGGATCTTAATTTAACCCAGGGGTTGGTAACCCTTGGTAACCCGCGGCTCCGGAGTCAAATACAGCTCTTTAGCGCCCCCTTACGGCTCCCTGCATCTTTTTCAAAAATTTATGAAAATCAATTGTTTTTGCTTATTTTAATATGTGTGCAGGAGGTCAAACAAAAATTGTTTTCCAATGCTGTAAACATTTGTATAATAAATATATTTAACCAATAATTTGCGTCATAGCCACAGAGATTAGTGGCCATAACTTGCAATCAGCGTGGCGCGGTGCCAGGCAAAAAAAGTGGTGGGTGTGTCTCGGACCATGGATCCCAAAGAGAAAAAAAGAAGATAGCTGATGAGAACAGAGGATTCAAAGAATGGAGCGAATCATTTGCTTCCATTATCAATGCGGAAGGATTGCCTGCATTTTTACTTTGTAATGAGAGGTTGTCAAAAAATAAAAATAAAAATTTGGAAAGGCATTTCCAGGGAAGGCAAGCTAAATATGCATCCGACCATCAAGCTGGGAGGGAGAGAAAAAGTGCAATTGCAGAACTTCTGGATAAATTAGAGGAGCGCAAAGATAGATTTAAGAAGTATCTTGCATCTCCACTACTGCTGCTAGTTTTGTTGCAGGGATGGAAAACCGTCCACAGATCAAACAGGTAGCGCTCTGATGCAGGGATGGGAACTTTCTTCCACTTTTTCCTTAAATCCTGAAAATATAAATCACACCAACGCTGATGATGGTGAATGTGGGTTAGAGAGCTGTGCTCTGATGGATGTCAGTTCCTGCTTGGTTCCTCACGACTCAATCAACTCCTCCCAACAGAAACACGTCCACCATAGAGAGATTCCTTTATCGTGTTTCTATTATTTCATCAATGCAACAAACCCTAAGCCTTGTAATGAAGGGCGGTGAAGCAGCACGCAGTTAGAGCATTCACTGCTCTTCCCTCACCTCATGCTGCTGTGACATTTGCATTTTATCATGAATGCTTATTATATATTTAAGCCCACATAGTCCATTTCCATAGAGGGATAATACACTTAGAGGCCGTTACCAGGCATATATAAGACTTTTACATATTTGCGGCTCCATACAGATTTTTTTGTTTTTTGTTTTTTTGGTCCAATATGGCTCTTTGAGCAGTGTGGGTCACCGACCCCTGATTTAACCAAACATCTGTACAGCTGTAATGCCTGATAGCGCTGAAGTCTGTCTAAAGGTTACACGGTAAAAACCTGAGGTGAATTTTCTGGAACGCCCACCATGAGATCGAATGGCTGCATTGATTGTAAATATGTAGCTAGATGAGCCAAGCTTATGCTGAAACATGCCTGCTTCCTGTCCGTACATGCACACAAGTTCATCCTCATACTAACAAAACAGATCAAATCTGGAAGCATATTTTTCCTACTCTTTTTATTTAATTAATAACTACTTATTTTAATTTTGCCTGGAAATAGTTCAGATTTTCTTTAGAAACAAGTACATATACATACTATAAAAATATTTTTATCATTTTTTAAATTACTTTAATGCCACTGCAGTGTGCTTTTCTTATAATTATTTTTTTCTGATGTAGAGTACTTTGAATTGTCTCTGAACTCTGTGCTATAAAAATAAACTTACCTCGCCTTACCGGCATGTTTAAACTCAACCTAAATGCAGAGTGGCAGCATGAAACTGGGAAGTTTGCTGCCAGTTTTGATGTTTTCCTTGCAGACATTTCCACATGCAATGAAAGTACCAGATCTTGTGATTTAAAAGTTTTTTGGTTTGGTTTATAAAAATGTAATTTTTGCAAAGTAAGGATTGTTTTCCATCAATTCACACCAGCTTCCATAGCTCAGAGTGACATCAGTAGCTCTTTGTGCAACACCACCAACTGCAAACATTTAGCATGTTATATTTTTATTGTTTGCTGTGAAACAGGATCATTTTACAAGCATGTTTTGCAGTTTTAAATATGTTGACCTTTCAATTAAGTTCACCTCCCAGAGGAGATGAAAGAAAACCAAAGTAGTTTTTTTTTTATTAAGGATGCATTATAAATGTAAAGTTAGGAAGCAAAATTGATGAATCTGATCCGGTAGGAAACAAATCATATTAGATTTTTAAGGCATACTGTAGTTCCAGTGCTCATGGAGGTATTTGTGTAAATATAGCTGACTAATCAGGTTGGGAGTTATTCCTTGTAGTCATCAGAGACTCAGCATGATCAGCTTGTTCTTGCATATATATTTCTTGTAGCACCAGCCTGAAGGTTAAACCATTTGTGTTCTGGATTTGTGATGTCTGCAGAGATGTTAGCAAACTTTTCCCCTCACCTTAAACCTGTTCAAGTCTAAGATGGAGGGTTCTTTAGCTTTAAACTCATCCCAGCAGCCGGGTCCAAAGCTACATCCGCTTTCTGTTCCATCAAACATCAACGGTTGTCCCTGTCCTCCACCCCGCAGGCGGAATGTTTGAGTACGTGTCCGGAGCCAACTTCTTGGGCGAGATAACAGAGTGGGCCGGCTTTGCTCTGGCGGGCCACTCGGCCCACAGTTCAGCTTTCTCCATCTTCACCGCAGTGGTCCTGGCCAACAGGGCTGTGGCCCACCACAAGTAAGAATAACATGCCTGCTCAGTGGGGAAGGTTTCTTTGGGTGAACGTACACATTGTAAAGAACATCTTTTTTTTTTTTTTTCCTTGTATTTCAGATGGTATCTTGCTAAGTTTGAAGACTATCCTAAAAGCAGGAAAGCACTGATCCCCTTTCTGTTCTAGATGGCAGCAGATCCAGACTGGAAGGTATTCCTCACAAAACCTTCCCAGTTTTCTTTCTAATTTCCTGCCGATGAAAACAGACTGGCATGCCTGGAATTTAGGGCCGTTGTTTTTCAGTTAGATAATAATTTGAAGAGACTTGACCTTTAGAAAAAAGAAAAAAACAGGAAAATACAACAAACTCAGCTCAAATGTAATTAAAGTTATGCGGCTGCAGCAGAAAATATGATATGTGGCGCCCGGCAGTGAACCATGCATGAGAGGAAGTGAACTGCAACTGCTGGATGGAAAACAAACCGGGAAGACTAAAGCTCTACGTTCACCTCGAATAAGGATGGTTTTTCTGTCAGCCTCATGATAGGAGATATATTTATAGATATCACAGAAGCCAGTAGGAGGAGTCCGTGGAGCAAAGCGTAACGGTGAAGGCTGGCCGAGGAGCTGCAGGGAAAACCGTCCAATCGGAGATCAAGCTCCTCCTCTCAATAACTCACTCATGCCTGAAACAAGGAGATGAACAGCATGCCTCCGTTAGGGTTCCTGCCATTCAACAAAGAAGAGAACTTGATGAATAAATGTGGAAAGGGTTTTTTTTTAACTGCTTGTGCTGATTATGTGCAGAGCTTAAAACAGACGGCAGCTCAGAGAAAATGCTGCTGATCCTCATGTCTCTTCGCTTCTGCCATCATGGTGACTGTTTTTGTTAGTTAGTTAGAGAAATGTAGTCTTTGTGAGAACTGGAAAATGATTTTTACACATCTGGATTTATAAAAATAAAGTACATACATTAAATGCTGTTGTCTATTTTATAAAACCTTGTTTCCTCATTGAAATAGTGTGTTTTTTAATTGTTGCCTTCCTCCTGTGTCCCTGCATGGCTTTTGTTTGTCTTTCTTTAAAGAGGCCTTCATTGAAAAGCTGGATTTATACTCTAGACCAGAGGTCTTCAAAAGGGGGTCCACGGAGGTACTGCATGGGGGTTGCAAAAGTTTTGGTTGATTAGACATTTTTTTTATATTCCCCCCAATTTTTTCCACTAATTGAAATGTCTTTAAATCCACATTAACATGAATTTATCAGACTGTAGTAAACGGATAAATGGAGGCAGAAGATGTCTTGCAGTCATCAATGCACACATTCAGAGACACACAGGAGCTCATTCAAACTGGGCACCGTTTCATTCACAACACCTGTCCCATCAACGAGGAACCAGAATCAGAAATACTCTAATAATCCCAGGGAGAAATTACTTTCATTACATGACTTCATCTGTAATAGAGTGACTATAGAACCAGATTGATATAAAACAATTTCATTCAATGTATATAATTAGGGGGTCCCTGCTCCATCTCGCCATCAGTTTGGGGCACCTTTGCCTGGAAAATGTTGAAGACCCCTTCTCTAGACTACAAATGAAAAAGATTCTTTGGCTAATTCTGACTTTTTTAACTCTCTTAACTTATTAGATAACACTGCTCCCTATCAAATAATAAATCAAATCCAAATACTGAGGCCAAATTACAAACAGGTTGACTGATTTAGGTAACTTCTGAGAAGCAGCCGATGACTCTTGCTTTTATTTAGGGTTGTCTTAGCAAAGGAGGTGGAATCTATTTCATAATGTAAACAATTATGCACAGCTTAGAGTTGGTCTGTTGTATAAAAATCAAATCTCATGATTTTTATGACTGTAATATAAAAGGTGAAAAGTTTAAGGGATGTGAATCTTTTTGTAAGGCCCTGTAGGTCAGGTGGGTGCTACATTAGCGTCATGGTATATATAGCGCTATTAATTCTGTTGTGTTACAGCCAGGTTCATGAATAGTAAATACAGACGCTGCTTCTAAAAGTGACAAATGGCGACAACCCTGGGCTGCAGGAGCCTTCGCAGATTGACGTCCTTCATATTCCAGATCCTTGCTGCTGTCTCTGTTTTTCGTCTCCAGACTATTCCCTCCATACATCCTCTTTAGTTACACTTCTTGTAATTGCATCAATATGTTACACTGGCAGTTTTAAATAAGACTCCCACTTGGTTTATCTTTGGGCTGATACTGCCCCCCCCCCTCCACCCCTGCCTTTTGTAAACAAAAATCATGACAGAAGGGCTCAATCGATAAAGTTCTCTGTGTTCAATGTGAAGATTTACCTAGCCTATGCATCTATTGTGGTATTTAACAAAACACAATTTGCAGCTTGTTGAGGCATTAAATTTGGTTGCATTACATTTAACAAGAGTAATACACTGCATTTCTCACTACAACTCTTCGGGTGAAGGTAATGCGCTTCAAACAGGTTTGCTGCCAACAGAAGGGTAGAGTTAAAGGGGTCATAGAATGCAAAACCAAGTTTCCATTGTCATGTCAGATGAATAATGATAGTTTAGTGGGTGAAATGGACGTACAGAGAAGTTCAAACCCTATCAACACCTCCTTTCTCTGAAAATCTCACAATTGTAAACTCCCGCCATAAAACGGGCGAATCCAAATGAATCCCCGAGTTGACGTCAACTGGCAGATATGTTGCATTATTTGGTTCTGGCCTGTACTTTTGTCACACCCTGAAATGCACATACAGACCAGCCCACTGGTTCACTGTAAGACATCAGTTTAGCTATTTAGCCTACAGTTGGGTTTATTTCTACAAGAATTACAAAGCAGGCAGTTTCTCTGTTGAAAATGAGCCAGAACCACGGGTGTAAATGCAGTGTTCCAGGCTGAATGGAGGAAGATGAACATTTTCACAGTCTTCCCAAGGATCAGAAGACTCGACAGGCATGGATTATTTTTGCTTATCCGAAGATCTTTGCAAAGTTTGATGCTCAGCTGTTCATTTGCTCTAAGCATTTTACCAAAGACACCTTTCAAAATCATGGACAGTTCAAAGCAGGATTTGCTAAACTTCTTTTACTTAAACGAGGGGCTGTTCCGACCATAAGGCCATCACAACCGCAAGCTGGAAGTATTTTTTTATTTCTTTGGGGGGATGGGGAGTGTCGACTGCTCGGCCGCTGACTGGATAGGACATCAGCAGAGAGCCGTGAGGAGGGGGAAAAGCACCGGGCTGCCATTCGGTCGCTCCTGCCTCCGTCCACCGGGGTTCCTGGATCAGACCCGGAGCTGACGCCGTGTTTCGAGTGCCTGGCGTGTTTCGGCTAAGTGCTGCACTGTAGTCGACCAAAATCCTGGAAGATTTTGAAATTCCCCCCACACATTTTTTTTTAGGTATAAAAAGTTTGACATGTCCGAGAAAAAGAGGGTGTCTGGTCACCCTACCATTTCAACAATTTCAGTGTTTCAGTGAGTGAGTGCTTGTTGCTATGATTTGCTCAGCAGATTAGCTCGTTGTAAACCAACCAATCAACGCACAGCTCATCTAAATATTCATGAGCATACCATAAAAGGAAGAAAACCTGTCATTTCATTCTAGGGCTTTTAACCAGGCAAATATGCCATTTTCAGCCTAACCAATGTTACACACTCTATTAAGAGACCTTAAGGACCAGCACCAAATACCCTATGGAATCATGCTATGACCCCTGTAATGCTAGCACGCAGATCAATGCATGCAAGTAGAAGCAAGCACTTTTTCACACACTGGGTGTGTTCGATTTTAAAGACTGCATCCTTCAAGGACCTGGTCTATCTGGAGACCGGAAGAGTTTTGGCCATGGATTCAAACAGTACCAATCTTTCTGTGGCTTTCACCACCTGTACGCTCTGTCGCCTAGCAACCATGAGAGTTTTCACACAAGGCAGGAAAAGAATGAATACCGAAGTTCTCACTGCTGTTTATATTTATTTTTTTACATTTTCGAGGAGCTTCAACACCAGTACCGTATCAGATCACACTGCAGATATATTAGAATCTTTCCTTAAATAACAGCCAGACCCGGAACTATTTACATACTTGGATTATATTAAACTGCACTAACATTCACCAATGTTCGGCACCATTTACCTTTTACTGCATAATGAGGAGTCTTCCAATCCGAACAGACCTCGGCGCCATGCTATGACGTAATCGGCCTAAGAATCTGGCCTTCGGAGGCCCCTGAATTCGCCCTGGGGCTCACTGACAGAAGCAAGGCTGACATAAAGTGGCACTACCTGTGCCTCTGACCTCCGAATGAACTCCCCTCAGCCAGAAGAACTTGTGTCGATGTTCTGTCAGATCAGCATAATCCATCAGACTAGCATACCCAGAGTCAATCCGCATGCGCAAGACGTTAGATTTGCATAGGCATCCGTTAGTCCCGTTTATTCCTTTAGTTTATCCCCATTTAGACTTTTAGTTTTGTAAAATACACTTTAACTATCCTGATGGGCGTGCATCCCTTTAGTCATATACAAAAAAACAATATAACATCAGATCGTCTTACATTTCAAAAAACACCAAAAAGTAAGGAATTATTTTTTATTTTTTTTTGTACATGACTAAAGAGATACATGCCCGTTGAGGCAGTTTAAAGTGTACTTTTCGTACAAAACTAAAGGGATAAACAGGTGTTGACTAAAGGTATACTGGTCTGATGGGGTATGCTTATCTGACAGAACACCGCCTTAAACTATGACAATCAATGCTGTGATTTGGCTGTTGGGAAGACGCACTTGTTGCATTATATAGATATAGATTACAGAATCTTTGGTCATAAAAAAAAAAGCGTTTTACAACCAGTAAAGTTCAGAGAGTAGACTGGACCCTTTCTCGTTAAGCATTATTGAGTTGAATCAGATGATAAAGGTACAAAAAAACTGTCAAAATGGTGAAAGCAAAGAATGGAAGCATAACAATAATTGACATTAAAGGTCTCTTATTTAAAGTCATGTAATTTTTGTTTTTATTCTAAAGAGAATAATTTTCCAGATAAGATTCTTCATTTTTTTATGCTTCTTTTTTTTTTTTTTTGATTGAAAGCCTGAAGTTAGATCTACTGTTATTTACCAGGAGCTTTAAGGAATGTTTTTTCTGAATAAATAGCCTGTAAAAAAAAAAAAAAAAAAAATTGCATTTGAAATTTTGACATAAACCATCATTTTCTTGTACCATGAACATCCAACGCTGCCTGTAATTCACTGTAAAATACATCATTTGCAGATGTTAACATAAAAAATTGTAAAAAATTTTTGCCTCCTTTATACCTTTATATATTATTACATTTTTTTCACTTTTATATTTTAGGAATTTAAATCCTTAATTTTCTTATTCAGATACTTTTAAAGACATTTTTTTTCTTTTTTCGAATATAAATGTTTTTTAAGACATGATTTCCAGAACTTGTTTTTTTATTTTCTGCCCTTAAATAATATATTTTAATTTCAGTACAGTAAACTAAAAAGTTGCATACATTGACCTCTGTTCTTTCATTTATTCATTATGGCTCCCAGTAACTTATTAAAATTCACATTTTAACATCAAAAATAACTTTTGACTGCCAAAGTTGTATCAAAAAGGCAAAAGTTTTCAGCAAAACATTTAATTGAAAAGCGAATCAGGTGACATCAAAAACTGTTCTTTAAAAAATAAAAAATGTAGGCATTTATATAATCTCAGTGTAATGTGTATATATATATATATATATATATATATATATATATATATATATATGTATGTGTGATTAATTATTTTTAATGTTGCACTGAAAAATATACATATGCCTTTAGAAAAGGAACAAAATGTTCTAATACTTGAACTGTTCTCCCAGCCCATAGGGGGTGCCATTGAGCACTATTTCTTTAATTGCAATCTATCTGTTTATATGATGCTTACAAAGCCTTCTAAAAAGGAAACAATATGTGTTATCAGTGGCTTTGTTAGTAAACATTTTGAGGAAAACACTTAACACTGTTTTCATGTGTTTATAAGGGTGAAATAGCTGTTGATTATTGAATCACTTCCCACTAATGTGAGGTAAATATCTGCAAAATACTGCAGATTAATTGTCTTTCAACCCACATCCTTCCTTAGACAACTGCTGCCTCTTGGATATTATCAGCCGTTACCATCTTCCCTTCGAGTGTGCTGTGTTTCCCTGCCTTTCTTTGTGTTTCTAAAGAACATGTTACATATATTTGCTCCCGTTTCTACCAATGATGTATTTTCCGTTAAAGCTGACAAGGTATACCAAACACCTGACAGCCATATCCCTCTGAGTCCCGTCTGTCTCTTGGATGCCTGCGTTTTGACTTCATTTCCACCAGCTTACAGTGTGAGCGAGCCGCTGTGTGCATGCCTGAGCGTTACATATTCTAGCTGACACACAGCTTCCCTTAGGGAGGTTTCCTTGACTGGGTCACATGGTAGAACAGATTGGGGGGTGGAAATTATGCTTTGGATCCCGTCTCTTCCTCCTTACATGCATGTAGAAAGGTTTGCTTGGCCTTAATCCGCTTGTTGCATGTAGAGAGCATTATGAATGATGGACATCATCTCCTGGTTAAGAATGGCTGTAGAAATAAACAGAAAAGAAATAATGTCCGTCTTACTGACATGGCAAAAACGAAGAATTCCCACGCCTCTAATGGTTTAACATAAACGCTTGTGTTTGTGTTAACCCCTTTTTACTCTGTTACCCCTCAGTTACAATTATTGTAACATAGAAGTCCTAAGCGGAAAGCCAGAGAGATTATGAAAGGGAACACAGGAGAAGACCCATTCAGAAGATTAGGTCACACCGCATACTGGTAATAAGGTTTTTCCAAGCTTCTGATGTTTCGCACACCACAGCTCCATCTACCATCTAACTATTGTAAAAATCACCTGAAACCTTCCCGAGACTTTCTGCCAACTAAAACTGAGCTCCGGACGAGAGAAATAACCAGATCAGCAGCTCCCACTGAGCTGGGAAAATCCACACCTCAGGTGTTGACGGTACAGCTGTTAGTTTTGTGCTCCACAAATGAGGCTTTTCTGAAAGAGTACCAAGAAGACTGCCACTTCTGAAAGAGATTTAGAAACATTAAGTTTTTCTCTAGTTAGGAACAAATGTAACCCAAAACAAATTGCCACTACTTTTATTTCACTCACAATGAAGCATGGTGATGGCAGCATTATGCTGCAATAGTTGGAGTCAGCAGGGAAAATGAAGCGACGCAGACTTATTACGAATTGGAACAAAATATAGGGTACTTTTTTCAGATTTGTATTTATTCCAATTTTAAAAAAAGAAGTTCCTATGTTATGTAAAGTAATGAAATATATTGAGGTTAAATACTTGTACATATTTAAAGTACTTTCTCCATACAGCCTGGGTTGGGAGGAAGATTTCTATTTTCTTTTTTTTTTTTACTCCTTTAAGAACTGCGATATGTATAAACAGATAGATCCCCTGAATGGACCAAACCAATTTAACAAACTACGACACTAATTTACTTTATTTATACTAATTAAATGTGTTATTAAATCTTTAAGGGGAGCAGTTTGTGGTTAGGATTCTAGTGTTTGTCATACAGATAGGGATCCCTGTAGAAGATTATGGCAGGCCACTTTAACATTTATTAACTTGACTGAATATGTAGTCCAGATGTCTCAAACGGATTTCTTCCTAGTCATAATTAACATTTCAGATATCTTAAATAATAATCTTCCTATCTAAACTTTTTTTTCATATATCTAAAATAAAATTATGACCAGTAAAAATTGGATTACAGAGACCTGAAATTCATTTTTAGACAGTCAGAATGTTTATTTTAGATAGGAGTAATATTATTTTGGATAGCTGAAAGTAACAGCCGAATACACATGTATGGGGGAAAGTGGCATCATTTGTACAAGTAAGAATTATATCCGAAATGTTCATTCAAGATAGGAAGAATACTATTTAAAATATCTGAAACACATATCCGGTTAAGCGAAAAAATTTGATTCCAGATTACTTAAAATAACATTTCTACCGGTAGAAATGTTATTAGTGATATCTAAAATACAATTCTGACTAGGAATATTGTAATTGTGACTAGGTAGAATGCTTTAGTGCTTTCACTAATAGAAATGTGACTAGTCAGCCTGCCTATTTTTTATGCTATTCAAAATATGTTTTTAAGTATATAAAACTGCATTTTGAATAGGCATTATTAAAATGTAGATATCTGAAATCATAATTTAACTAGCCATATCAACAATTGATGAATCTGTGATGACATTTCTACTAGCAGAAATATATTTTTTGATGTCAATAATTGGATTTCTGGATATCTAGAATGTTATATTCATTTTTTATATCTGAAGTTGTATTTTTTACTGGTAATAACTGTATTATGGAGATCTAAAACTGGAGTTCTTCTTCGTCAAAATTCTGTTTTAGATAGGAGAATTGTTTAATTTACATAGGAAGAATGTTATTTTAGATAACCACAAGTAAAAGGCTACACCCTACACATGAACGGGTAAACGTTCATGTGTATTAATTTGTACCGGTAAGAATTAATTCAATTCAATTCAGTTTATTTATATAGCGCCAAATTCACAACACATGTCATCTCAAGGCACTTTACAGTTCAATTACATTTCATATATCTGAAATGTTTATTTTAGATAGGAAGAATGTTATTTTAGATGTCTGAAATGTTCATTTTGACTTGAAAGAAATACATTTGAGACATCTGAATTATATATTCAGTCAAGCTAATAAATGTCAAAATGGCAACCTAAACTTTATAAAGATTTCTATATATCTCTAAAGTTAATTCTTATATTTTTTTTTATAATTTTTATATATATTTTTTGCTGGCAAAAAATTTATTTAGGATATCAATATTTACAGTTCTGACTAGTAGGAATGTAGATTTGACCAGGAAGAATCTTATTTTAGAGATCATAATTGGAACAAAAGAGAGGACAGCCTTTCTAATAAATGTCAAATCGGCCTGCCATAGCTTACATGCTGCCACCTACTGGTGATGGTCGGAAAAAACATGATTCATTGAACCCGCTGAACTTCCAGTAAGCTAAAAAAAATGGGGAGTAATACTGTATTGCATAAACTCCTCGCTTTTATAAATGTTCTATGAATCTAATACATTTGAATGTGCTTCATTTGTTCGACTGTGGTGGGAAAAAGGAGGAGCAGGAGTGGGTGGATGGGGGCGCAGTCATCGTTTAAAAATGGGGAAAAGCTGAGCACTGCGCATGCGCGCAGATTTGAAGAGACTACGCCATATTGGATTCCCGTAGGTTTCACAGCATTCTTAGCAGCTTACGAGGGACAGTTTTTATTAATGGTCCCGTTATCAGTTTAATTTTTTTATTTATTTCACCTCTCGCAGCAAAACCCCGAACAGTACAGCGAGCCACGTTAGATCCAGGCAGCGGCGCAGATTCAAAACGGGCTCGCTTACGACAGGTTACTTGTCGGGGGAGGGGAGGGGGGGGAGGTTACCAGTCATCGGACTTGAATGGATCCGAGGGTAGCTTGGATCCAGCCGGAGCAGAAAGGACCTGCGAACGCCTTATGGATGCAAATCTGGGAGACCTCTCAGGGAGTGAGGACGCTCTCCGCTCACAAGCCGAGCCACGCTCAGTGTGTGAGCTATGCGGCTTTAATGGCTTTAAATAATGCGGCGGCATCGTGCAAGAGCGTCCGCAGCCCCAGCAACGGCCGGAGTAACGGCAGCGGCCATCGCGGCGTCGTGAGCTGCTCCGCGAACAGCAGCGGCAGTACAGGCGGGACACCGATGTCCAACGGGAACCTCCCAGCGAAGGAAGACACCGAGGTAAAGACGCCGATCCAGAAGCCTGCTTCTGCCTCCCAGGAATCGGGGACAGAAAGTCCCGTTTCTAGGAGCTCGCTCTACGAAAGGACCTCGGGTGGAAATGTGGGGGGGATCGGCGGTGGCGATCTAGGCGACAGCGTGGAAAACGACGCCGACCTGTATCATCATCAACGCAACCTGGACGCTTTTAATCTGCAGCGGATCTGCGCGAAGCAGCATCAGGTTTACTCCGCTGCAGCGGATCACCACACACTCGGTCTGCATCCGGACCGGAGGAAAAGCGACAACAAGGCCAGCACCTATGGGATGAATTACCTGCTTTCGAACTGCACTAATGGAAATCATGTGAATTGGACGCCGTGGAAGAAGAGGAAATACAGCTCTGGAGTGCTCGGGTGAGTAACGCCTCTCTTTCTGTCCACTATTCAAGACTTTTAGCTTACATTCATCAAAATATGTTTAACTAAATTAAAAAAGTACAACAACACAGTGGAGTAGTTAACCTTTTATTTAATACCTCTGGGTTTTTTTCTGCTTTCTGTCCGTTAGCTGGACTAGCAGGCGTACTGCCGTTGAGCAGCGTACGTGAACGCAGCAGCCGCGTTCAAATTCTCCTCTTGTTCCATACGTAGCGCTGTTCTGTCAGAGACCAAGTATGGCAGGCCGTTTTGACATTTATTTATTCATTTGTTGATCTCTAAAATAAGATTCTTCCTAGTCAAAACTACATTCCTACTAGCCAGAGATGTACATATACCGTAGATATCCTTAATTACATTTTTGCTGGCAGAAAGTACATTTCAGGCTGCCAAAAATATGATTGTACTAGTAAGTCTAAACTTTCAAATATCTAGAAATCTTTACAAATTTTAAGTGGCGTTATTAAAATTGAGATATCTGGAATTGTAATTTAACTAGT